TCACCACTAAGTCATTGATTTGCGATATGTTTGCATTGATATCGACGGCAACTTTGCGGACCGACTTCACCGGAGACGCCGCGCGACTGTCATTCATCGGCGACCCATTCTGTGACCGATTCCTCTCTTGAGCTATCAGTGCTTCCGTCTCATTGCTAAAGTCGTCGCTCAGTCCCAAAGAGTTGTCCAAAACGTCGATTGTTTTGCCCAAACAATACCTAAATAAATGATAAATTCATTAACATTTAAGTTAATTAATCATTTTTACGACAATTCTGTCTAATTTTTTATCAGTTTTATTTTGTTTGATTTATTCGCAGACTTACTATTTTAGTCGACTTTAATGCTATTCATTTGTATTTTGAATGTAAAAATAGCTCATTTAAAACCATTAATTTTCTGGTAACGACTTTCAAAAGCAATAAATCCATTCAATAATAGTCTTAAACATGAATGAACTCTCAGAGACACTAAATAATTGAAGACTATCTTAAATTCATATTTATTTCAATTACTCTCAACTAATGTTATATTCTATAGGAAACATAAACAAAATTAACAAATAATAATTAGTTTCATAAATCATTAGCAACTTATTACATCTGAAAAATATACAAATAGATAAAAACTTTCAAATTGAATGATAAATCTACTTATAATCTGAAGCAAAATCAATACAAACTTTGACGAGAGAAAAGTGCTCTCAATTCACACTATAATAGAGTAAAACAAAAAGTTTAAACATTTTGAAGACATACTTATTTGAATCAAAAATGGTGTCCAAAAAGTTTTGGTCGACTCCGGGATATCTTTGGTACAACTGATCTCTTTTGAGTTTCGTTGCGAACAAATCCTTCGCCTGTTTTCGCGTCACATCACACGTTGAGTTGAGCGCTTCGGCGGTCAGACTGTTGTCATACTCTTTACGACTCATTTCTTTGGCCATCTCTAAGTCCATAATCTCTTGTAACTCACTCTTCGGAGCACTCGCGCCGAAAACAAACGCCTTTTTCATATGATTTGACACTTTGTTGTTATGATTATTATTGCTGTGATTAGTAATACTTTGAGATTTAGCGCCGTTTTGAGGCAACGGCTTCTGATGTAACGACTTCTTCCACGTGTGGTGCAGAAGGCGGGCCACGCCGTGACTTAAAGTGATGGTCAGGTCGTCCTCTGTCAACGT